CCCAGTCAACCGAGGTTAACATCACCAGTGACCATGCAATGCCACAGGGGCACCTCAGCTCTGTGGACACCCCCACGCCTGTCACCCCCGTCTAGTAACGTCCCACAACCCCTAGTCACGACTGTGACGAGGAAACGCGATGTGGCTGCCTTGATGGATCCTGGAACAGAAGAGGGAAACCCACACAATGTCTTACCCAAGTAAACAGCAGTATTCTCCAACCACGTAGCTCAGCTCACAGCCCTCTGTTCAAATACTGATGTCACAGTGTGACAAAAGTGCAGGTTAGCAAGAAGCCACTATTGGGGGAGCTGCATGAAGAGCTAATGAGAACTCCGCTTCCTCTGATGTAAATCTCAAGCTATTACAAGAGTTTACTCAAAACGCGCAATTGCACGGGTAGTTTTTGTATTAAGGACAGATCTTTTACGCATGTTTACAGGAGTTCTTACTTTTTAAGCTAAGTCAGTACTTCAGAACCCACCCTTTGCTGCAGTCACAGTTGGGAGGGACACTGGACACCGCAGGATGGGGACGGTTCCTGCCCCGTATGTAACAGGAGGGGCAGGGGGCAGAGGGAGACCAGCACCCAGCACTGTGAAGTGGCTGTCACATACACTTGTCACTAACACTGTCAGTAACACCCAGACTAGAGGCGTTTAGATTACAGAACCTGGGAGGAAGAAGCAGAAACACTGGGATGCTCTTAGCGAAGGGACAGAGAACTGAGAGATACGTGAAGCAGCGTAAAAGTCACCTGGGCTCATCTCTGGGCCCACAAAGGAAGGGAGGAAGCCTTCCTCTCGTTTCTCCCTGCGTCCAGTGCCGTCCTTGCTATCAGCCAGGAGCGAGGCTGAGGCTGGCGCCGCTGTTACAGCCGCCGACACGGACTTCCCACGCGTGTACGACAGTGATTCCTCAGGTGAGCGTTCCAAGACCCCCAAACAACTGCCTTGCAAGTGAACTTTGGAAACCAACCCACCTGCCAACCAGAGACCACCTATGCAGCTAGAAACATATTCTGAGGAGTCAATTCACAGGGCAGGGAGCTGCAGTCGCAGAATTTTAAATAAACTACATAGAATCACCATTATCCTTATAATTAAAACAAATTTCAAATAGGTTTTTTAGCATCACGAGCTACAGTTTCTAATTTAGAGATTATGAAATACAATGATAGAGTTTTAGGAGAGAACTGTTTTGTGAAATGTGCTTATATAAGGCAAGGTGAATTAAATATAAGATTATAAGATATGTCAACATCAGCTACAAGCAATTTAATCACATGGGAAAAAAGTTAAATATGAATAAAAGCCAAATATCCCAAGAATATTTCTTCATTTCTATAAAACCCTTCTACTACGTTCACTACCATTATCACAGAAACCATTAAAGACAGAGCAAAATACAAGGTGCATCTTATGAACAGTCTCCACGGTGCCAGAATAAAAACAAGATAGTCCTCACATCTAAAAGGCTACAGTGCTAAAAATATATGCCCTTAAAGCTATCACTTGGCAGAAATTAAAAGGTAAGATACATTTCAAAATAAAATTAAGGACTCGTCAATTTTTTATGGTTAGCTTCAAAATAGAAAAAAGTAAAAAAAATTTAAAATGAACACATGTACATTTGACTTTACAGCATTTCACCATCTATACTACAAATATCCTTTTAAGCCTCGCCACATCCCTGTGAGGTAGTAGGAAGGCACTGCTGTACCCATTTCACAGATGCAAAGCCTTAAGATACAGAGACAGAGGCACTGGCAAAGTCAGGGGCTAGGGAACAGCCACAGAGAGGACAGCAGCCCGCTGCTGGGCTTCCGAGCCATGGCTCCTTCCCCAAAACTCGGCCAACCACAACCATTAACCCCGCGTGGGAGAGGCCAACCACGAAGACACTCCACAAAGTTCAGAGGAAAACGGAATGGAAAGCTAAGTTTATTTTCATGCCAAAAAAAAAACACCTGAAATCCACTCACATCTTCTCCAAATACACATTTCCTATGAACTTTCTTGAAGCCCCTCATATGATGCTGAAAACTTCTGCACCAAAATAAATATATTAATTCCACTTTTCCATGAACTTTTGGGAAGTTCCCTTGTATATTCTCACACTACACACACACACACTCCTCCTTACAGAAATTATATTCCTAGAAAAGGGATAAAAATAAAATCTTACTTTTCACTGAGCAAAGTGAAATTTCAGACCCTCATCATTTTTTGTTTGATAAATTTCTAATACAGATAAGTTATTCCATTAACTCTGTTACTCTTTTGTTATATGACAAATGCAAATTTTAAAACATCAAAGCTTAAAGCAAACAACCTACAGATAACTGACAAACTCGGTAATTCACATGCTTGGCAAGCATTCAGCACCTGTTTCAGGGCAACCTCGTGGGCTGCCTGTTAACTGGTCACACAAAGGACCGCAATAGTAATGGGAGTTCACAACCACAGTTAACTACTGTGAGCTGTAAACAAGACCTCCAGAAGAAATCGCGGGGCACTGGCTCTCACCCTCTCCACTCCGGTCAGCAGCCCTGGTCAATCACCACAAAGGGCGCGGAGGGGAGAGGAGTGGATGTACAGTGCGTGCACACCCAGCCCTGCCCTCACCACGTGCACCCCTCTCTTCCACAGAGCCACCCAATGTGAGATGAAGTTATAGGACCCAGGCTTTCCGTTCCTGTTACTTCAAACCTGGGCTTCACAGTAACAATTACGTATCAGCCCTGTCTTGCCCATATGCATTCTTGATCGGGATTAAGCCATTCTAGTCAAAAATAAACTACAGGCACATCCTACATGCCTACAGTTTGGCTCTGCACCCTATAATGGTCTATCTGCATTATAATAAAATATTATTACAGGGCCGGCGCCGCGGCTCACTAGGCTAATCCTCTGCCTAGCGGCGCCGGCACTCCGGGTTCTAGTCCCGGTCGGGGCACCGGATTCTGTCCCGGTTGCCCCTCTTCCAGGCCAGCTCTCTGCTGTGGCCAGGGAGTGCAGTGGAGGATGGCCCAAGTCCTTGGGCCCTGCACCCCATGGGAGACCAGGAGAAGCACCTGGCTCCTGCCATCGGATCAGCTCGGTGCGCCAGCCGCAGCGCACTGGCCGCGGCGGCCATTGGAGGGTGAACCAATGGCAAAAGGAAGACCTTTCTCTCTGTCTCTCTCACTGTCCACTCTGCCTGTCAAAAAAAAAAAAAAATTATTACAGTGGTACAGGGTACCAGGAACCAAAGTCCACTTGCGGTTCTACTTGCTCTATTAAAAAAGTGCATGGGGGCCAGCGCTGCAGCACAGCGGGTTAACGCCCTGGCCTGAAGCGCCAGCATCCCACAGGGGCACCAGTTCGTGTCCCAGCTGCTCCTCTTCCGATCCAGCTCTCTGCTATGGCCTGGGATAGCAGTAGAAGATGGCCCAAGTCCTTGGGCCCCTGCACCCACGTGGGAGACCCAGAGGAAACTCCTGGCTCCTGGCTTCGGATCAGCACAGCTCTGGCCATTGCAGCCAACTGGGGAGTGAACCATCAGATGGAAGACCTCTCTCTCCCTGCCTCTCCTCTCTCTGTGTGTAATTCTGACTTTCAAATAAATAAATTATCTTTTAAAAAATTGCATAAAAAATTTGAGTCATTCACAAAGCTAAAATTCTGTTCAAAGAAAATGACACATATAAATTCATTTTTAAGACTTCTAATCAACATAATATTCAAGTAAGCTAACCTCTTAAAAAATAGTCTCAAAGTATTGGTTCATTTTCAGACATCCTGCTTTATTTACAAGAATGAATGAATGAATGAATGATGCCTCTTCCTAAAGTTTCACAATTTGGCCATCAGAATAAAAAAAATAATCTTGCAAACTCAGGTTCCCTTAAAGTGTTTCCCCCTCTTAAAAAAAATGCCTTCCATGTTATCATTTCTGATTGGGAAGGAAGAATTGTGCAATAAACCAAAGTTTTACATATCAAGTACAATATACAAAAGAGCAGTATGACAAGAACATGGCTGCTAATCTTCAAATCCCAGACTGACACCGACACACGAAGGCAAAGGCCTGCGAGCCTCGCGTTTAGCCAGACGACATGCAGACTCTCCAGCAGAGAGGAGCTGCTGGTGTGCTGTGGACCCCGAGAACACCCCACTCTGAGATCCGCCCCTCTTTAGCCTTAACACACGTAACAGTCAGGAACTGCTTTCAACCTATTTACCCTAAGTTAGTTTTGTTTACAAACTTATTCCTCTCACAAAAATCTCACAAGTTTAATAATAATCAAGACTTACCTTAAATTTCTATCAACCATGCCCAACACTTTACCCTTACCAAATAGGGCACACTTTTTCCCTTTGGTCGATTTTACATTTCTCTGCAGTTCACAGCTCTTTAAAACTACAGTGATTAAAACTGGACATGCCAGCCCCCTGCTGATGGCCTGGGAAAGCAGCAGAGGATGGCCCAACTGCCTGGGCCCCTGCACCCAAGGAGAGAGACCTGGAAGAAGCTCCTGGCTCCTGGCTTCGGCCTGGCCCAGCCCCAGCCACTGCAGTCATTTGGGGTGTGAATCAGCAGATGGAAGGCCTTTCTCAATCTGTCTGTCTCCCCTACCCACCTCTCTGTAACTTTGTCTTTCAAATAAATTAAATAAATCTTTTAAAAAAAAAAAAAAACTGGACACACCCCTCAAAATAGAGAACTACATCCATGATGCATTTCAAATCTGTGATGCTTTCTCACGACTCACGCAGCTGCGCCCGTCCACGGAGTGGCCTCCTCCCAGCCTCACTCACACCCAGCCTGTCTTGCTCCACACTGAATGTACAAGGGTGGACGTTTGCATCGTTTCAATTCACTGACTTTTCTACAGTGTTGACGGTTCCATTTATCAAGGTACGTTATAGGAAATTTACCATACAACCCACGCTGTAAGGTGCACCGAGCCACGGACCAGAGGGCTACACCATCCCAGGGCCTGCTGGGCACCTTACCTCCACTGGACGGTCACTCTTCACCAGGGCGACGCGCGCCCTCTGTAAGGAACCATCCATGAGCTTGTGAAGTCTCAAGATTAACTTTCTCAGCCCCATCTGCTTCAGGGCTTTGTCTACAAACGGCCTGTAAATGGAAGTCAGGCAATGCCGACTGAGGCCGGCCTCGGGGCTGCCGTCTGGGGCCCCCCAGCCAAGGGACTCGTCCTCAGACTCCAGCCTCTCGAGCTTCCTGGCCACGCAGTCCTGCGGCTGCACGTCGAAGTTGCTCTCCGGGGACCGTCTGGTCTCCGGTTCCTCTTCGCTGTCATCCGTGCTACTCTCCAGCTCCTTCAGGTCCCCTTCAGTGTCTTCCCCCTCGTCCTCCAGCTCAACGCCTCTGGACGGGCGAGGGGAAGGGATTTCAAACACTGGCCAGCCAATGTCTGACAAATTCTTGATGCCCAAAACAGTGCCCATGATCCTTAATTTCTGGTTTAAGTCTTTCGTGATGTTCAGCCACAAACAGAGCGCCTGCACCCTGTCCTGGAAGTCCTTTGCGGCGTACTTTTCATAGTCCTTCTGCAGGGCCTGCAAAGAGGGATAAAGTGCTTCTATGTACTCCAGCAGCTCCATTATCCGTTTCACCTGCTCGAACGAGACCCGCTGGCGTTGGAGATGCTCGTGGTACGTCGAGTAACCCGCGTTCTTCGTGCCGCAAGCGGCCGGGCTCTGCCCTTCTGCTGGAGTACCATTGAAACTAGCGCCATTTCTGACAAAGGCAAAGCTCCCATAATTAACCTTGAACGTCAGGATCTCGTTGATGATGTCCGGGATGGCTTGGCGGGCTGTATACAGAAACAGGTCCTGGTCATTAATGGTCCGTCCTGCGTGCCAGGCTTGCAGCTCTAACCAGATCAGTTCGTTGGATCGGTTAAACCAGAAGGCAGACGTGTTTTCCTGGCCTCTCTGCTCCCGGTCCTTCTTCTTTGAGACTGAGGTAAGCTTTAGCAAAAGTCTTAATGTTTCAAAAAACTTTAACCGATCCGCGGGACAGTCGGTTCTGGAAGTCTGGCGTGCAGTTCTGGCTATAGGCATGGGCACAGAGACCGGGAGCTTAGCGTTGCTACAGCCCAGGCTGAGGTAAGGCTTATTCAGGTCCACCTCCGGAATTGACTTTTTTGGCAAAGACCCACCCACTGAATCCAGCATGAAGGAGCACTGCACATTTTTTTTGTGATCACGCTCAGTCGTTCTAAGAGTTGCTCGCATCTTTTTCTCCTGCTTATAGCTGTACTCCTCCACACTCTCCACTGGTTTTCCAGGGTCTTTATGTGGAGGCTGGTTTGCTGCATTCATTTTCTCTGTTAAAAAAAAAAAAAAAGAACATTATATGATTCTAAAATATGAAGCTATTCAATATTTCCAACACAACTGACAATCATGTACTTACATTTTCGGGCTGCTACTGCAGAAAGGAATTCTATATGCTGAATATTAAAAGAATCAAAATAAATACATAACATTCCTCTCTACATTTTTAAAAAGAGCTCATCCTTTTTCCTTGCTGTATTTGCTGTATTCTCTTACACTGCAAGTACGAACCCCAAACTGGGCGTTCACATCTATACTACACGCACAATCATGGAAGAGTTTAATCCAATCTCCAGCAATAATCACCTTCCACTTAGAAAGAAGAAAGGACACAGGAGATCGACAGAAGCCTGGATCAGAACGCACAGCCAGCTCCTGCCCATCAGTAAGGATCTGTGTTAACCCGAGGGCCGTCACGTCGTTCCCCGGGCCGCTTTCCTCCCGGGGAAATGAGGCAGACCGGCGAAGGGGCCCTGACCGCCGTGAACTTCTCATAAAGAGCTGACAGGTAAAAATGCAGCCTTAGTCCTTCTATTGCTTAATTTGCTCTTCGCTACAAACCAATGAGCAACAACATTTTAAATTTAACATGAACAACATTAAAAAACTCATTCAATATAATTTGTATACTGGCACAAAAAGATCATTCAAAATTAGTGCAAAGCAAGTAAACAGCGAACGCTGACTTAAACAACTGTAAATGACTATGAATTTAATTTCAAGCTTTAAAACGTATGCGGGCACACGCGGGCACACACACACACACACACACCCTTCCTTCCTCTTTGCACTTTCAACACAGGTAGCTCCACCTTCTCTTTAATTTTGTTGCTTTCTGAATACAACTGTCTCGAGGTTCTCTTCTACTTGTGTAATTACAATTACCCCTTTTCAAGTCTCCTCCTTGGAAGCTGGCAACTCTAAAGCGTGAATGCTTCTCATGGTTCCAGGCTTCCCTCCCCCTGGTTGTCCTGGAGGTGCCTAGCCTACACCACCACCCCACTCTGCTCTACGCTCAACACTCGACACACACTTCATTTCACTGAGTCCAGGACACACATTTTCTTTCTTTCTTTCTTTCTTTTTAAGATCTTGTTTGATTATTTGAGCGGTAGAGTCACAGACAGCAAGAGGGAGAGACAGACAAAAAGGTCTTCCATTCACTGGTTCACTCTCCACATGGCTGCAACAGCTGGAGCTGCACTGATCCGAAGCCAGGAGCCAGGAGCTTCTTCCAGGTCTCCCATGCAGGTGCAGGGCCCAAGCATCTGGGCCATCCTCCACTGCCTTCCCCGGGCTACAGCAGAGAGCTGGATTGGAAGTGGAGCAGCCGGGACTAGAACCAGCACCCATATGGGATGCTGGCACTGCAGGTGGAGGATTAATCTACTGCACCACAGCGCCAACCCCAGGACACACATTTTCTAACACTTCACCACCTCTGGCAGGAAAATGTCAGACAATGTCACATAATGGTGATATGAGAGTGAATTTTAAGGTCATAATCACCTTGTCACTCATACATTTCTTTGTATAAATAGGCATAATAGTAATGAAGTGGCTTTTTAAAATCTGCATCTAAACATCAGCAAGTATAAAAAACCTCCTTTAATCAAAATTAAAATTCTAAAAATATACTGCATCATCAAATAAAAGTATTTTTCTCAGTACATATTATGTCTTTAGATTTGATATTTACATGAACTACAGATTAATATACCCATAATCAATGGATCAAGGAAACTTGTATAAAAGCAATTTACCTCCTAGTCAATTCAAATTAGTTTTAAAATAAAAAATTTTAAACTATTTTTCCAAGGTCACTTACATCCCATTCACAATATACAAGAGATCTCTAGGCTTGTTTTGCATAGAAAAAAAAATCTATTAACTCCATCTTCCCATTAACTTTTTTATTTTATTTGACAGAGTTAGACAGTGAGAGAGAGAGAGAGAGAGAGAGAGAGAGAGGTCTTCCTTCCATTGGATCACTCCCCAAATGGCTGCCACAGCCGGTGCTGCGCCGACCCAAAGCCAGGAGTCAGGTGCCGCCTCCTGGTCTCCCATGAGGGTGCAGGGCCCAAGCACTTGGGCCATTCTCCACTACCCTCCTGGGCCACAGCAGAGAGCTGGACTGGAAGATGAGCAATCGGGACTAGAACCCGGTGCCCATATGGGATGCCGGCGCTGCAGGCAGAGGATTAACCAAGTGAGCCATGGCGCCAGCCCCCCATTAACTTTTTTAAAAACCCTCATATTAAATTTAATTTATTGTGGCACATCAAAAAGGAGCTTAAATCCATCTGTCTAGGGACTTTCACTGCATTTTAGTATAAAAACTATTATCTTTATTTTTTAAATAAGCAACATTTTAAGAATAAAATTTTTATCTGCAGTATCAATCTTTTATGTACTTCTAAATGCTTTAAACTTTTCGTATTTTCCAGTGAAAGAAACGTCTTCCCAGGAACAGGCGTCTGGCACAGCAGGTGAGGCGGCACTCAGGACGTCCACATCTCATCATCAGAGCGCCTGGGGTTCAGGTCCCAGGTCTGCCTTCTGTTCCAGCTTTCTGCTGATGCACACCCTGGGGCGCAGCAGCTGCCCGTGTGGGAGACCTAGATTGAGTTTGTATTCTTGGCTTCGGCCTCGCCCAGCCCTGGCTATTGAGGGCATTTGGGGAATAAACCAGCAGATGGGAAATTTCTGTCTTTCAAATAAAATAAATACTTTGATGACTAAAAAAAAGAAATATGAAGAAATAATTTTATCCTAAATTTAAAAATATCTTTTAATTTTATTGTTTTTAGCTATATTATTCATAAAATATCTGTCCAGGCCAATTCTTCAAGTTACTCTTGGGGGCTGGCACAGTGGCGCAGTAGGTAAAGCTACCGCCTGCAGTGCCAGCATCCCATATGGGCGCCGGTTCCAGTCCTGGCTGCTCCACTTCCAATCCAGCTCTCTGATGTGGCCTGGGAAAGCAGTGGAGGATGGCCCAAGTCCTTGGGTCCCTGCACCCACACAGGAGACCTGGAAGAAGCTCCTGGCTCCTGACTTCGGATCGGCTCAGCTCCGGTCATTGTGGCCATGTGGGAAGTGAACCAGCAGATGGAAGATCGATCGATCGATCGATCTCTCTCTCTCTCTCTGCCTCTCCTTCCCTCTCTGTGTAACTCTAACTTTCAAATAAATAAATAAATCTTTTAAAAAAAAGTTACTCTTGCCTCCTCTGTCCTGTTTCACTCTGGATTCTTTATACCTTTATTAATAGAGCAAACATAAACCATTCACTCCTACTTAGATAAGCAATGGCATTTTGAAAGCAAGAATGACAAGTGCTCCCAAATTTCCCTCTACTCCACTTATTTTTCTCATATCAGTTCAGGGGCCAGTGCTGTGGTGCAGTCGGCTGAGCTGCTTCTAACGCCGGACTCCGGGCATCCTCACACCAGGGTGTCAGCTTGCGTCCTAAGCTGCAGGCCTCCAGTCTAGCTCCCTGCTGATGTGCCTGGGAGAGCAGCAGCAGACGGTCCCCTGCCACCTACACGGGAGACGGGGAAGCAGGTCCAGGCTCTGGACTTCAGCCTCGATCAGCCCTGCCGCAGCCATCTGGAGAGTGACGCGGTGCAGCGGGTGGAAGGCATCTCACGCACTGACATCCCTCCTTGCTGAGAAACTCGGACGTTAAGGCCCCTAACTGCCTGACTTGGTTTATGAAGTGGGACACTCTCCTGGGTGGGGCTAACGATTGCAGGGACAGCCTTTAAAAGAAGGCCTTGACCTTCCCTGAGGGCATCTGCCTGTCCATGGGTGGGTCTGTCCCCTCTGTCCAGCTGTCATCACAGACAACACACAATGGAAGTGGAACCACAGCTCCCGCTGGCCAGCTGGCCATGAGACACCAGGACTTGCAGCACCAGGCCAGGAGGCCCAAGACTGCACAGGTCGTAGTGGGACTGTCTGAAAACGGCTGTCACACTGGAGGTCAGCGTGTGCGGGAGCCATCCAGAAGGTGACCTGCACTCTCTCATCAGCAGGTCTGCACGAGTGACGAGCTCCTGACCCTATCCTCACTGTGAGCCCCAGTGGCTAAGTCCTCTGAGCACAGCCCTACACACCTGGGTGGACTCGGGGGCTCACGCTTATGCTCCCACCCCTATGCCTGTGGCCCAGGGCTCTCAGGCCCCAGCTTGCACTGTAGGCAGATGTGGGGGCCAAGGAGACAGGAGAGGACTTGGAGACGGGTGGAGGCTCAGTACCACCACTAGGAAGGGCTCTGTCCAGCTAGAGCTGGCTGCCCTCGGGCAGGCTGAAGACGGTTAATTCCACCTGCAGAGCCTCCCCCCACCTCCCAGCAACACCAGGTGAGTTGTGGAAGCCCCACAGAAGCCATGCTCCCCACACCCCTCCCTGCACAAAGGCTGGAGTCACTCTTTTGGGAGTGACTGCGTGAGAGTCCCAGCTTGGTTTCAGATCCCGGCCTCCTGCTAATGTGTGCGCAGGGAGGCAGCAGACAGTGAGTCAAGCAATTGGATCCACGCCACTCATACAGGGGCCTCGTATTGAGTTGTTGTGAACTCCTGGCTGCACCTGGCTGAAGCCTGACTGTTGTGGGCATTCAGGGAATGAACCAGCAGATGGAAAATCTCTCTGCATGGGGACTCATTTAATTAAAGACATTTCTTTTTTGAAACACTACACACACACACACAGGGTATTTTAAAACATACACATACACACACACACACACACACACACACAGCCACATTTACAATTATATTCTCTATGGCAAAGATAAGTATAAAATTAGACAGAAGCAGGGCCGGCATTGTGGCACTGCAGGTGAAGCAACTGCCTGCAATGCCAGCATCCCATATCACAGCACTAGTTCAAGTCCTGTCTGCTCCACTTGACACAGCTCCCTGCTAATGTACCTAGAAAAGCAGCAGATGATGGCCCAAGTACTTGGACTCCTGCCACCCACACAGGAGACCTGGACAGAGTTCCTGCTCCTGCCTTTGGCCTGGCCTGGCCCTGACTACTGCAGCCATCTGAGGAGTGAACCAGCAGATGAAAGATCTCTTTCTGTCTCTCCCTCTCTGTTGCTGTGCCTTTCAAGTAAATTAAACAAACCTTCCCAGGGCAAGCGCTGGGCGTAGCAGGTAAAAGCCACCACCTGCAGTGCCATCATCCCATACAGGTACCAGTTCGAGACCTGGCTGCTCCACTTCCAATCCAGCTCTGTGCTGTGGCCTGGGAAATCAGTAGAAGATGGCCCAAGTCCTCGGGCCCCTGCACCCGCGTGGGAGACCCGGAAGAAGCTCCTGGCTCCTGGCTTCAGATCAGTGCAGCTCCAGCCGTTGCAGTCAATTAGGGAGTGAACCAGCGGATGGAAGACCTCTCTCTCTCTGCCTCTCCTCTCTCTGTGTAACTCTGACTTTCAAATAAATAAATAAATCTTTAAAAAAAACCTTCTTTTACAAAAATGTTTATTTTCAAAAAATTAGACAAAGTAAATTTAAACAACTAAGAAAACTGGCACAAATTTTCAACATTAACACAGAAAACGTGAAGAAGCAGGGCAGCCTGAACTGTCCTGGCAGCATCACAAAGGAACAGCAACAGACAATGACGACCAATCCCAAGACCACGCACTGAAATGCCAACTCCACCACCAAAACATCCATGTGTGCAGGGATTTCAAGTTACTGTCAGATTGGAGGTGAGAAAAAGGTAGTCGATATTGGGAAATCTTCAGTTTATAACAATAACAGCAGCAGCCAATGCTAACTAACATACAACCCTCGTGACACTGTAATAAGGCAGATTACTTCACAGAGAAAGAAGACGAGACCCAGCAGTCGGTGGCAGAACCAGGCATGGAGTCCAGGAATTGTGGGAACTGGGCTTGTGCTCCTGCCCTCCAGGCTGTGCTGCCGTCCTCTGAGAGCAACTAAGTTCTCAAGGACTGTCTGCCATCAAACATAGATACCGTATCACCAAAACAATAAAATGGCCCACTGCTCAACAGTGTGCCAAGTCCTTCTTGTCTTGGTATTTGTGAACAAGAACTTTGGTAAGAAACAATTTACCAGGTGACAAACACATGAAGCCGCTTCCTAATACATGCATGACGGAGACATAAAACTATAAAAACTGTGAATTCCAAGAACTCTGAGCTCAGTCTCCTCGACTACAAAATGAACACTATGTAGGGCCTACACAGAACTGGTGGAGCATGATATTTAAAGATGATTCTAGGGGTCAGTGCTGTGGCGTAGTAGGTTAAGCATCTGCCTGCAGTGCCAGCATCCCATATGGGCACCGGTTCAAGTCCTGGCTGCTCCACTTCCAAGCTCCCTGCTATGACCTGGGAAAACACTGGAAGATGACCCAAGTGCTTGGGCCCCTGCACCCACGTGGGAGACCTAGAAGAAGCTCCTGGCTTCAGATTGGCCCTGCTCCAGCCATTGCAGCCATCTGGGGAGTGAACCAGCAAATGGAAGACCTCTCTCTCTCTCTCTCTCTCTCTCTCTCTGCCTCTGCCTCTCTGTAACTCTGCCTTTCAAATAAATAAATAAATCTTTTTTTAAAAACGCACATTAAATTAAAAGGGAGCTAGCTACAAAATAGTAAATATAGTATGTCAACATAAATACACACAAAGAGACTGTAGGCTAAGAGCATAAAAGGAGTTATTTTGTGCACTGGTTAATACATGATCTTTCTTTCTGTCTGCCTATATTTCTAACTTTCCCATGGCAAAAACGCAATCTTTTGGAACAAGAGAAGAAGCGCAGGAGGGCTGTGGCGCCCTGGGCCTGCTGAGAAGCTAGCGAGACGGAGCTTCCCACCACAGGGCAGGCCCGGGGAAGCAGTGCTGACACCTCCTCCAGCTCTAACATCCTGTGGTGCTATGAAACACACACACAAATGAAGCCGTGAGGGAAAGGGACAAGCTTCTCCCTTCCCTGCGTCTCACAAACCCCGCGGGATGCCAGGAGCGCAGACGTCTGTTTCCTGGCTGTGTGACTGATGAGTGAAAGACCCACAGGCACCCCCAGACTAGCTTCACCCCCACGCCGCGTACCAGGGGAAAACACCCACACCACACACCTGCCTGCACCTGCAGCCTCCTGACCGTAAATGTGCTGCCCTGAAGCCCGGGCCTCAGCACGCCAGCCATGAGGTGGAGGAAGTGAGTTCTCCGCTCCTGTTCTGAAACAGCATGGACCAAGGCCTGAACAGAGCATGCGCCAGCACACCTCCTCCGAGGACGGCCACGAAGCAGATTCACTAGCTAAGGCTGGTCCACCAGATGCCACGTCAGTGAGAGCCACGTTAGACAATGAACCCCTGTAGGCGACTGAGGAATTCCTCACAGAAAACACAGACAAGGACTGATCTGTAAGGTGACGAATTAAAATGGAAAGGTGTGAGTTTCCAAAACGGTGAGGGTGAGCACAGAGCACAGGCTAACAACCTGCTGCAAATAAAGTTCTGGAGGAAAGTTTAAAAACCACTCTGTGGGCAAATCAGGTGTGAGGAAGGCTCTGGTGCTGGGGGACCCCTCAGGTGCGCCCTCACTGGTGGATCGCAGCCTGCTTCTAGCCTGCTTCTCCCGCCTCCTCTGGGGACGGGCGCCAGTGGGAACGCAGGTGGAGTCGCCGACTCACAACCATGAGAACAACGCAAGGCTCTTCAAAACATTCTTGGAAACATGGACTGAAAAGTGACTTTGCCTAGGACAGAAAAACTTCTGAAACAGGTAGACTGTTTTTTCATAAAGCCCACTTTCCAGGAACCTTCCATCTGAAGACACTGCAGGGAGAGGAAGGTGACCAAAGAGGAACTAAGAACACACACAGGGGACGGGAGAGGGGTGTGGGCCTGAGGTCAGCAGGACGCGTTTCTCAGAGGGGACGGAGCAGGACGGCCAAGCCCTGCGCACCGACACACAGATGAACGCCAGGAGGCTGTGGATCCGCCTCGGGACAAGCGGTCTGCTAGAATTGACCAGGGCAGTCCCAAGCTACGTGCTTTCAGTGAGCCGAGGTCCCAGGCCACCCTGCAGGGAAACAGAGGCAGCAGCTCCGAGTGATCCAACTCATCTCCCTCAGGAAACAACAGCTAATGGGCGAATTGGGCTTCCATACAAAAAGCAACACAGGACAGAGGCTCGGTCTGCAGCCACTAAGTGTGGGGTCCCATCCAGGGGCAGCACCTCGAGGTGCTGGCAGCATCTGAGATTGACCAGGAGCCCTGGGAAAGAGAGTCAGGCTCTGGTCTCCCCAGAGCCCCAGGACGCACGCAGCACTCTGGACAGAAAGAGCAGCCGCAGCGGAGGAGGCTGGAGTGACTGAGCGGCCCTCTCCGTGTCACCTGCAGCCTCCGGGGTCAGCATGCTGCAAACACCCGGCTTCTTTCTCATCTTCACACGCCTCACATCCCTGCCTTGAACCATGGCTCAGGACAAGCCTTTCCATCACTGGAAAATTACTTGTCTCCTTTATTAACAATACTGCTAATGGCAACGATTTGAGAGGTTAAAAATAAAAGCGGTATTCAATTTTCAATTAAAGCAGGAGGATCAATCAAGGGGCTGGCACAGCTGGTTAAGCTGCCACCTGCAACACCGCCATCACATACTAGCGCTGGTTTGGGTATGGGCTGCTCCACTTCCAATCCAGCTCCCCGCTAATGTGCCCGGGGAAAACAGTGGAAGATGGCTCACGTGCTGAGCCCCACAGGGGAGACCCAGATGGAGTTCCAGGCTCCTTGGCTTTGGACTGGCCCAGCTCCAACCATCACGGCCATTTGGGGAGTGAACCAGCAGATGGAGAATATCTCTGTCTCTCCCTCCCTCCAACTCTGCCTTTCAAATAAATAAAATATTATCTTTGGAAAAAAAAAAAGAGGTTGCTAGTTGCATGCCATAAAAGATTATGTACCAACGGGGTCATCCCCTCTCGTGTACACCGTTTCAAGCTTCAGACTCACCTTTCAAACTACATCGGCTGCCCAGCCTCCCTGCACTAGTCCTCTGGTGTTTGGTGGACATGCGCTTCATCTGCCGAGGTGTGCTGGGGGGAGAGGTGCCATACAGATTTTCCGTATTCGTCTCATCGGGAAAGTCCTCCGGATCCGAGTCAGGACTCTTGCACGCAGAATCTCCCGAGGTGCACTCCTGCCTATACAAGACAGTAAGCAGAGGAGCGTTCAGTCAGAGGCGTCGAAGGTAAACCACTACTCTTGCTACAGCACCCTGGGCCACTCTTACCACGACCACTGGCTGCTGGTCCTGTTTGCAGAACTCTCAAACAGGAACAAAGCCAAAAACTAACAACTCAGGGATCAAGGGAAAAACAGCCAAGGACTAGAAGGTGAAGTTAGGCAGGACTGAGAACGGACTTGTGAGCCCACGACTGACAAGCTAACTGGCGAGCGGGCGAGTACAGTCCTCCTGAGCTCCAGGGCCTCTACTCTCCACGGGAAAGCAGCACAGCGACGCTTCACTGACCCACGCAGCACGCATGGAGGGCACATCTGAAGTCGCCAAGCAGCTTCAGTGCAGAGCTGTGCAGGGGAAGACGCCACGGAAGAGGACGGGAACTCAAGGACACAGGAGGGGACAGGAACTCAAGGACGTCACGGAAGGGGACAGGAACTCAAGGACATCATGGAAGGGGACGGGAACTCAAGGAGGCCACGGGAGGGGAAGGGAACTCAAGGAGGCCATGGAAAGGGGGAGGGAACTCAAGGAGGCCATGGAAAGGAGGAGGGAACTCAAGGAGGCCATGGAAAGGGGGAGGGAACTCAAGGAGGCCACAGGAGGGGACGGGAACTCAAGGACATCACGGGAGGGGACGGGAACTCAAGGAGGCCACGAAAGGGGGAAGGGAACTCAAGGAGGCCACGGGAGGGGGGCGAGAACTCAAGGACATCATGGGAGGGGACAAGGAACTCGCTTCTCTTCACCTTCAAACCCAACTTCTCATGAAACACTGCCTGCCAGTTCCCTATCCCCCGCTAGTTTCTGGAATAGTATCACTTTGACGAAGTTCTGCTTTTGAAAAGCTAACAATAAAACTTAATAATACAAACCAAGAGCAAATGCAATTCTAAAGCAGTGAACTAGGAGTCAATTACAAAATTCTTTCCACTTAGGAATCATCAATCTACCCCATTCTTATTCTTTATGAAATATACATCATTTTGTAAACATGACACCAAACTATATACAACATGCAACTAGTTTTCTTGCTAGCAATTTAAATCTTGATATAAAATAAAAATTATTTCAAAATCACAAGGAAAAAAGAAAAATGATTCTAAAAATTAAACATCAGAGCATAGGGCAGGCAATACAGCATAGCAGGTTAAGCCAAGGCCTGCAATGCTGAATCCCACATCAGAGCATGGGTTCCCATCTTGGCCAACCACTTCCGATCCAGCTCCCTGTGAATGTGCATGGGAAAGCAGCAGAAGATGGTCAAAGTCTATGGACTCCTGCACCTACGTGAGAAACCCGGATCGAGCTCCTGGCTCCTGCCTGTGGCCCGGCCCACAAATGGCTTCATGGCCATTTGGGGCATGAACCAACAGCTGGAAGATCTCTCTCTGCCTCTGTAGCTCTGCCTTTAAATAAATAAAATAAATCTTTTTTTAAAAAAAAAAATGAGAGCATGATTATTAAATTAGTCTGGCAACTAAAACTTCAGGAAAGAAATTATCTTTTGAAAAACAAAAATATGCGGTATTACACAAATTACTGAACTTCTTTAATGTTTTTCTTTTTTTTTTTTTTTTTCATCTAATGCAAAGGCAGAGGGAGAGTTAGAGCCAAGAGCAAAAGCAATTATCCATTTGATGGGTGCCTCTCCAAATGCTGGCAACAGCAAGGACGGGCTAGGCCAAAGCTAAGAGCCCAGAACCGCGTCCAGACCTCACAAGTGGGTGAAGAGGCCCAAGCACTTGAGCCATCATTTGCTGCCTCCCAAGGACGCATCGGCAGGAAGGAGGATCGGGGCGGAGCTCCCAGGACTAAACCTGCACTACCACATGGCAAGCAGCCATCCCAAGCAGCCAGTGTCTGCCCCAGTAATGAAATTTATTAAAAAAAAAAATTCTGACAGATCAAAAACTGATTATTTTAATGACTAATTTTTAAGACTGCTCTAGATACTTTTGAGCAGACATATTCCCAAATACACGTGTACACAAAACACACAAGTAAAATGCCCCGAAAGCCGGCAAATTAAACCATGAACAAAAAATTATTAACAGCATCCACCTGTTCTTTGAGGCCAATTATATTTCAGTCTCATAAAGCCATACAACAAATAACGTGCCTTGGATAAACTTAACATTTCTTTTTTTTTTTTTTTTTTTTGAAAGAGTTGCACAGAGAGAGAAAAAGAGGCAGAGAGAGAGAGAGAGAGAGAGAGAGAGAGAGAGAGAGAGAGAGAGGTCTTCCATTCGCTGGTTCACTCCCCAGCTGCAACAGCTGGAGCCGCACCAATCCGAAGCCAGGAGCCAGGAGCTTCCTCCAGGTCTCCCATGAGGGTGCAGGAGTCCAAGGACTTGGGCCATCCTCCACTGCCTTCCCAGGCCACAGCAGAGAGCTGGATCAGAAGTAGAGCAGCCAGGATTTGAACTGGCACCCATATGAGATGCTGGCACTGCAGGTGGTGGTTTTACCAACTAAGCCACAGCATCAGCCCCAAACTTAACGTTTCTTATAAGCATTTCTTCTGTTAGATTCACTATAAAATAGTTTATTCAGCTGCATGAAGGACAAGACTATAAATGCCAAGGTAAATGCTTTCTTTTCCGTAAGTTTTAGCGGTAAATAGGACAGGCTTTGTGACTATTAACAGCATCAGCTTCGGTGGGATGGACCTCGGTTCAAATCCTGGCTGTACTGCCTACCGGGTGGGCCTTGAACAACTTAGTTTAAATCTCTACATTGCACATATATAAAAGAAACATAATGAATTCTTATACTCTACTCCCACAAACATTAAACCCAATAATGTACCTAACCACAGAGGGGGACTGAGAGTGACAAGACTGAAGTCGCAGGCCTCGGCGTCCTGTGCCCACCCACCATCCACCGAGAGAACCTGAGCTCCTGGCTCCCAGCTTCCCATCCAGAGAGTCCATCCAGAGAGTCCTCCCCAGTGTCCAGGCAGGGCACAGGGACTGGGAACACCCTGACCTTCCCCACGTCTTCTTCCAATTCCACACGGTGAGGCACATGCTTGCTCTGACGCGCTCTCCCCACTAATGAAGTGTGGGTAGGGAAGACTGCAGTGCGTGACTTCTCTACCTCCAGGGGTGCCCAGCACAGGATCACAAACGTTCAGTGCTTTCCCACAAGGGCAGGTTTCACACTGTCATGGGAATCACTAGAAACCCACAGCACAAATGTCGGGTCAGTTAACACAGCCAGACAGCAGGACCATCAGAAACAAGAGCAAACAGAAACCTGGAGAACACGCCTGGGCAGCAGGTGGGAATGCGAACTTGGGAGCTGACACCACACCTGACTACCACATGGATGAAGCAGACACTCCTGAATCTTCCCAAGACTTTAAATAAGAGCACTCATCCAGAAGTCATACTGTCTATATTCTCAAATATGTCAGGAAAGTTAGCTGTGAAGATTTCTCTTAATACAACAATATGAAGAAAATAAAGGGCTAAGCTAAACATAAACAGGCCTGAGTTACTAGTGCCAGCAGTACAGCGTGCATCCAAAACGAGACTGGGAGGAGATTCTCTGAAGGGGGACTTCAAGCGTCAAACCGCAGTGGCCCAAGCAGCAGTCGCTGACGCGAAGACAGAGCTATGAGCTAAAGAGACAGCAGAGCTGACTTTAAAACAAGTGCGATGTTCCCCCGTCTGACCCGCAATCGGAGATGACTCTCAGAGAGCACACATAGCAAAAATGTTAACCTTTACGAGAAGCTTAATTTGGGAAAACAGAAGATTTATGTGTGTGCTGCTGTCCCCTAACTGTGGACAAGCTATTTCTCCACACATGGAAAAGTTCGCTTGGCTCACTCCCCAAATGAAAGTCGAAGGATAAATCCTCGCAGTACTTCTACAGAAGCCAACAGTCGCTTCCGGTGTCTTTTACAAAACAGCCGTCCACCTCGATACCTTCACACAGACACAGCAAACAGCTACTGACTCCGGAGTCTTCCTGAACTATTTAACTATGCAAACAACAACATCAAAAAAAACCACACTGAACTGCAGATGACACTGTCAACGAACAATGCATTAAAATGTGACCAAACATACACATTCCATCCTTCTTGTTATTCAATATGCATAAAAAACGAATTAGGAAAAATGCTACATGGAGCTACCAGCCGCTATACTTACAACCATAATTAAAGTGAATCTTAGGACAGGCACTACACAAAGGTGAAGCTACGTATTTACCACCTTTTTAGGATATACTTTACTCTGTCAGGACGGCATTCACACTTGTCAGAAATGTTACCAATTTACATTCCACCCAGATAACTTAGTAACTTAATTATAAGTCAAAACAAAGTCCAACATTAAAGAAATAAAAAAGAAGCCCAACACTCGATTATAAAATTCACAATGTCTGCCTTCCTATCAAAAATTAACAAAGAAACAGAAAAATGGGACCCAAATCAAGAGGAAACAACCAATAGAAACAGACCAGAAATTACTAAAATAAAAGTTAAGAGATCAAAACCTTGCCCAAAATAGATGGTTGGAGTTAGGGCAGATTAGACACTGCAGAAGAAAAGATGAGCGACCTTGAAGGCTTAGCAGAGAAACTATCCAAAATGAGCCAGCCCCGGGGAGCAGAGCGGGCACAGTCAGTGCCCGGAGACAGCACGCACTGGACCGAGCACATTATCAGAGTCCAAGGCTAGCGGAGGGGGGCCAGGGAAAAAAATCTCTGAAAATAAAGGCTGCAAAATTTTCAAAATTTAAGTTCACCGCTCCAACAAGCTCAGTGAGCTCCAAGAAAACTACCAGGTTCTAAGTATCTATACTGTAGCAAAATTGCTGTAGACCAGTAATGAAAAATAAGACATAAGTCTTAAAAGCAACCAGAGGGAAACCATCTGGGAGCCTTGGCCTAGAAGTAATACATGAGCACAACAGGTAGAAAGAAATCAAGCAAGAGTTTAATCTT